GGCAAGTGCGGTGCCAGTGATTTTGATGGAGCGCAGATCGCCGGAAACCTAAAAAAGTGTTAAAACGCGGGGTTTGAAGGGACCGGGAAGCTGACATTTATATGCTAATCCACCCGAAGCAACAATAATTAGCTGAGTGGTATAAACGCTTGGACTGTTGAATAAAACTGAAGTCTTACCACAGCCATATTCAGGTCCCTTGTATTCCGGGTGGGCAGCTCGGCGGGCATGGTGAAGACGTAGTCGCGCACGCCGGAACCTTTCCCGAACATCACCTTGATTTGCCGGAAGCCGATTACTCTAAAATCTTTCTAAAACCCTGAACTCTAAAAGTTTATAAGCCAGATACAGTTGTGTTGCGAGCCTGAAGCAACTTACTGCATCGTCACATCGAGCCATTGTCCCGGACCAAAGGGGGCCCGGTCGAACACGGGCGAGCCGAGCACCCAGTTTGGTTGCGAGATCTTTGTGTCCTAAATTTCCAAAGTGTGCAAGTTACTCCCAATAAATATCACGCTGGCAATTTGCCATTTAACATCCGATACCCCTAAAATTTTGAACAGCGGTGCTGAAGGGTACTGAAAATGTTCACAGAAATGTCCGCCGGCTTGCTACAGTAATTTTCGCGTTACTGGAAAAAGAAAATTTATTCTACGTTTTTAACAGGGCCTTGCCGGAATTGGGCATACTTATGGCCAAAATGAAGCACTGACCCTTTCCTATCCGGGGAAATTTTTTGTTTGGCAAAATTCGGCTTTGAAAATGGGCTATTTGGGTCATTTTCTCTTCGGAATCTAGTAAAAAACAAGATTAAGATCTATTTTAATATTTAAAAATTTTCACACTCGGCAGATAAATATGATAAACTAAATTTTTTTTGCTACGGTTCGGCTGAGACTATGACTTTCCGCTAGAAGGACAGCCCCGAGTGCACCAACTTTTTATAGAAAATGGACTGGCTTTTGTCTTTTGACCCGAACCCAGAGAAGCCCTGCAGACTCCAGAAGGTATCTCAAAACCCACATTAATTGACGAAGCGTAATAGTGTAGATTTTTGTCGACGATAACGTCGAGCGCAATCCCCACGCTCATCTGACTGCTGTGCAGCAAACTGATCCGCCAGCTAAAAACGGGAACTTAAAGCAAAAAGCAAAAAAATGGATAAGATAGCTGGTAGGATACCGTAACGCACCGCTTCGCACCACGTAGAATCTGGGCGTGCACCTGCAACGTGCTGCCATTCTGGGCATTCCGGGCGAAATGGACGTGCGATTCTGAAGCCCAGAAAATCGTACGACCGTACCGTAATGTAATTACGGTTTCGAGGCGATCGTACCTTGAAACTTCTTGAAAGACACTTTTTCATCGACGGCCTGCGCAACGGCAATCAGAAGCAGAAGAAACGGAATCATGTTTGTGGAAAATGAGAAAGACGGCGATGATGCGGAAATTTATAGGTTGAACGATGAGTTATGGTCGGCACTAGCGCGCACACCATCGTATGTTTTGTCATAAAATGGCGGCGCTGCTTTGATAGAGGCCATCTCTCTCTTTCTCGCTTTCTCGCTCGCTAACTCTCGCACTTTGTCGATCTCTTTCATTCGCTCTCTCGCTCTGTCTCGCTCTCTCCCTCTTTCTCTCTCGTCATCTCTCTCAATCCCTGGCGGTAACTCGGTCGTTCAATCACTCTCACTCTCTCTCGCACTTTCTATCTCTCTCACGCACCTCACTCTCTATATCTCTCTCTGTCGCTCTCTCTTTCTCTCTCTCTCTCTCTTTCTCTAGCTCTCTCACTCACTCGCTCTTTCTATCTCTACTCTCTATATGATCGAATCGATATTTTTGACGTTGGGCAGCTCTTGTGTTATGGATTATTCTTTATCAAATTCATGACTTCCAGCCCCAGTCCGACTCCTCATGCTCCTCCTCCTCCCTGTGCTTCTTCCTCCGATCCTGACTTTCCAGCTTCTCGAGCAGTTCACGGATCCGCTCGCGGTAATCTGGCTTCTGCAGATCAGGGATGATGTTGAACGCGTCGAACTGTCGAACTGTACCGTATTCTCGTTCAAATCTCGAGCGCTTCCGTATTGGTTGTTACTCCCGATCGCCGTCCCACCGATTTTGATCGAGCTCAGGTCGCCGGATACCTGAAAAATGAAGAATTATCGCTTGCCAAGAAAGCAACCAATTTATAAGGGCCCGACGCTAGGTAACGCTGTGCGCCTTCATACATCGTAATCGGATCCCGTAATAACCTCAAAACTCCTATACTCACAATGACAGTATGACTCTGCGTTGCACGGCCCGGAAATGTGTCTGGAAGTCGGTAGAGGTGCTCCCGGACACCAGACCCTTTTCCGAACGACACCCGGATCAGACGATCACTAACGATCCTAAAAATCGTGAACGATTGCCGAAGTTTATGGATATTACAGAAAATTCAGGAATTGACTGACCTCATCGTCACGTCCAGCCACTTTCCTTTGCCATACGGCGTTCCATCGAAGACCGGCGAGCCGAGGAGCCACTTGGGAGCCGCGGTGCGCGGATTCTGAAATTTCGACATTAGTAGGAAGTGGTCAGGATTCTACATCCAGCGAAGAAGCGTAGTAGTGCAGATTCTGCTCGACAACGGCGTCCAGGGCGATCACGACGCGCCATAGGTTGTCGGTTACCAGACTGATGCGCCATCTGAAGACAAAATCGATCGTTTAAGATGTGTTTCTCATGGAACGTGGTACCGCTTCGCTCCCGGATGAATTTGGGCGTGAACAGTGACGGTACTATTGATCGCGGCGACACCATTTGGGAAGTGGACGTGCTGTTCTGAAACGAGGTTTTTGCAGTGTTCTTTCACCTGACTCTTCGATACCGTATGCACGTTTGCATGAACCAATCTTGAAATGCGGCAAAGGTTATCCGCTCATCTACCGCCTGGACCACAAGGTAGAGCAACATCATCCCACCAAAACCTTACGCTTGCTTTGGTTCTTATAGTCCAATAGTTTATTACGGCCACACTTTTCACACGGTGCCTTTGAAGCCGCCGCTACCGTTCGTGTTTTCGCATGTTTTGAGCGGGATCTTCGGTCTTGTAGAAGGAGAGCGAGAGAGAGAGAGAGAGAGAGAGAGAGAGAGAGAGAGAGCGAAAGAGAGAGAAGAGAGAATGAGTGATATACGCCGAAAGACAGATAGAATAGATTGCCGTTGAGTTATGGACTCATTTCCGTTCCGCGCCTGAGAACACACGCTGCCGAAAGTCGTAAAGAAACCGAAGCAGGCTTTTTACGGTATTTGTGTTTCGCTGCTGCTTTCAAAAAGAAGTTGGCCTAAAGCCGCTCCTCTCCTATCTCCTTAAAAAGTGTAAAAGCCAAATCAAGTTGGCTTTTCCGAAATACAACCCCCCCAAAAATCCAGCTTTCTCATGGTTTTCCAAGGAGTAGGTAGGGCTGTTCGTCCGGGCTCGCCGGCTTGTAGATACACCGACAGATCGGGTTACAGACAAAGAAATGGAGAGAGAGAGAGAGAGAGAGAGAGAGAGAGAGAGAGAAAGGCGACAAAAAGCCGCCAGTGCGGGGCGTATGGCCAATTGGAATATTTGCGTTGTGTGGTGGGTGGAACCTGAACCTGAACCTCTCCGGCTCGTGTGCATACTTGAAAAATTGGCTTGCTCAGGTTTTCCACTGTTTATATGATTTTCGTGAGGTCCCGCGTAATCCTGATAGCTTTAGAACTTTTAAAGAAGCAGGGAAGCGAAATAATCCTATCCTTACTTACTTATCCTGATGCTTAGCTTAGGCTTAGGCGCATGCTTAGAATAGACTTAGGTTTGGGCTTAGGCTTTAAAGGACGGTGGAAGTCCCAATTTCACAAAATCCATAGCTAGCAAAACCCTTCCTTTACAAAAACATGCTTAGGATTAAGCTTATACTTAAGCTTATCCTAGGCTTAGGTTTTGCTTAGGCTTAGGCTCATGCTTAGAATATACTTAGGTTTGGGCTTAGGCTATAAAGGACGGTGGAAGTCCCAGTTTCACAAAATCCTTAGCTAGCAAAACCCTTCCTTTACAAAACCCTAATTTTTGAGAACAAAGCTTCAACCCGTCTGGCGGCTTCTCCTCCCTTCTTCCCCAAAAAAAGGCGATAAGCATAATGCCGGGCAATTCTTCAAAAACCCGGGGCTGTTTGATGTCTGAGCAAGTTTGGGGAAAAGCTTGGGAATTCCCCCGGGAGCAAACTCTTCGACTTTTCGCCAGTTTTTTTCGGCTTTTTAGGCCCTTGGGGGCATGCTGCTAATCTATGTGTTGGTCGGGGGCAAGGTCATCGACTTTTTTGGGGGGTTGTTTAGCAAACAACGGCTTGAATTTCAGGCCCAGAAAAAACTTGCTTCCGCTGTTCTTATTTGCCATGTGTTTATTCTAGCCAAATTTTCATGCAATGCCCAAAAAACCTCTGCTGGCTTGCCCCATTATGGAATTTTTTATGTTTTCAAATCAGCTGGTCTACTCTAACCTGTCCTCATTTGACTTGTGCACACTGCCAAATGGGTTTTGCTAGTTTTCAGACATTTTCGCCTTTTTAGAATTCCCTTGCCAATTAAGAACCCGCCCAACCTTATTTAATTTGATGAAATTTCCTCAAGGATCTCTGATATCTGGCCTTGAAACCCGCCATGTCCTCGTTTTTTCAATTTTAGAAAGTCGATGCATTTTTTTTATTAACCAGTGGAAAAAGACTGCTTCGCGGCCATTTTCCACTGGACCCCGTCCAGGAATCATGAATTTGAGTATCTGCTTCTTTTAGCCTGCGGCGCAAGAACCTGAGTAATGGCGCCATTCTTCGGCCTGCGGCGCTAGAGCCAGCGTTCGTTTTAGATCCTTTGAGCCTGCGGCGCTAGTTACTGGTTTTTCTCCAGGATTGGGCCTGCGGCGCGAGAGCCTGGGTCAAGGGCCCATCCTTGGCCTGCGGCGCGAGAGCCTGGACCAAGGGCCTTTTCTTTGGCCTGCGGCGCTAGAGCCCGGGTCCAGGCCTAAACCTCGCACACCGAGAGCCTAGAAATATGTTTAGTTGCTAAACTACCAAAAAGCAAAAAGTTTGATTTGCCCAGGATCCGAACCCACGACTATTAGCGTGGTAGGCCGGGAGGAAATCCGCTACACCACGGGGTAGATGGGAACAGGCGGCGCGAAAGCCCTCTTCTGTTCCGGGGAATCGCGGGCGGGGAGGCACAGAAAAGGCCGACCCAATGCCCCGGGAGGGCTGCCTTCTGGTCACTTTACAAAATTAAGTTTTTTGAGTCTAAATCTGCAGAAAATTTGTAAAGATAATAAGATGCGCGTGATCCCCACTATCGAATAAATAACTGGTCCAAATTTCAGCCCGAAATTCCAAATGCGAATCGAGTTATGCCCCGAACACCACGGCACATCGCCCATTTTGTTAAGGATTTGCACTATTTTGCTTGTAAAAGTGTTAAATGGAGGAATTTCGGAAAACAAAAAAATGCGTTTTTGGCGAATGTAATTCTCCAACTCCATGCCAAAAATCAGCTCCAAATTCGGCCTGACGGCCGAGAAAACGGCCGTACAGAAAACAAACATACTTTTCTCGCTTATAGGATAGGATTTTGACGTGGTAAGCTAGCTAGCCCGGGAAAACTTTTAAACTTTCATCATCTGATCCTTTTTTTAAAGCCCTTTTACTATCACTACCAATTTTTAAGGGCCGCACAGCCCCAAAATCTGAACTTTCGCGGTTCCACTGATAAGCCGACTTGGCCCATAATCTCACACGTTTTTCTGAGGGGTTCCGAGGAACGCGAGAGCTGTAAAGATAAGTAAAAATTGCAGATGTTTCGTCTTTTACAGCTTTTTACGGGCTATTTCTTGGAAAAAGTTAATTTTTTGAGTAATATGCAACAATACAATGTTCGAAAATCGGTCGAGAGAGCGGGAGAGAGAGGGAGAGAGAGAGAGAGCGAGACACAGACAGACAGACAGAGAAATGTCAACAAATTTTTACATTTCTACGCCAATTTGTATTCAATTTTTACACGCCTTCCTTGAAAACAAAATCCCCCAAACCCATCAACTCAATCTCCACCCCATCTCTTTGCCATAAATCTTCTCGCGGTCGTTTTTTAACCCCACCAAATGCCCTGGGGCCACACTTTTCTCTCCGCCCCAAGGCTAATTTCAGCGCCTTTTTCCACCCTCCTCACCGTTCCCCCCCCCCCCACCCAATTCATTCCGCGGTGCACCTCTTTGCGTTTCGTCCATGTCGTCAGTCGACTTGCTAAAAACCCTGCGGCAGGTCCCCCTTGCTTAAGGCTCGGCACGACAACTGACTCTTCCCCGGCCTTTCTGGCGTCGTTTTGTGCTCTTGGGGGCTTGAGCAGGGGGGAAAGTTTCGGCATGTTTCTCGGCATACGCCGTTGTTTGTAGCAATTTGTTGTGGTGGTTATACGAATTTTGATGCGTTCTGTAGCGGTTTTTTGGATCCATAAGATTTCTTTTCGGCAACGACCACTAGAACGGTTCGGTTGTGACTTCGAAACGTAACGTACTGGTAGGAATTTTTTGCGATGATTATATTTAAAAACCTGCCGGTAATACCGAAGATTGTCTGCAGTTTTTTTCGGATCGATTCCTGAAGTAAACAGGTTCTGTTTTTTGGTGTTTTTCCAAGGAAAGTGGTGCCTAAATACTGCTATTTCTCTGAAAACCGTGGACTGGGGTTTACACCCAATAAAAATTTGAATTTAGATGAATTGGAACTTAGATGGGGATCTTAAGCTGCTCCCCCGAATTAAAATGCTCGCGTTTGGTAGCATTTAGGAATTTTGTAACAACCATGTGTTTCGTGGCAATCTGGCGTGTATGCGCGTCTTTTTCCGGTCTCTCGAACCGTGTAAAAATTCTTTCCATCTGACGTTCCTAAGCCAAGGTTGACCCCGCACAGTTGCGTAGATGAGGAATGTGTGAAGCTGGGAGCGTTCCGCAGTGCGTGAGGTAGTAGGAAGAAGGATTATATTGGTGTTGGCCTCGAGTTTCTAATCCGCAAACGGGCCAAACTGCTTGTCGAGGGCTTGAGGTGACAAGCTGGGGGGGGGGAGGAACATTCAGGATTCTGACACCCTGACCACCCGGAAATTGACATAGGGTTGGAACGAAATATTAGTATTCCATGCTTTCAGTATTTGTCTATACCTAGTGGTTTGAAAACGTCGATTTTGACGCTTCCACGCTCACCTAAAAATTGCTACAAATTTGAAGAGTCTTGCAAAGACCCAAAATTGCTGGTTTTTGACGCACTGCGCAGTTCACTAGGTCTAAAACTCAGAAACGTCGACTACGGCGCTTTGCAATCTCATTAACACAATCCGAGACGCTCGGAAAAGCAAAAAATCCAACCTTGCGCCAGCTGTAAATCCTACTTCGCCTCTCTCTCTCTCTCTCTCTCTCTCTCCCTCTCTCTCTCTCTCCTCTCTCCCTCTCTCTCGCTTTCTCAGGCAACTCTGCTACACTTTTTACCATCTCGACCCCCGTTTCTGGCTGCCCATAAAATCGTGGCCAATTTGTGAGGCAAGGCGCCTTTGGGGAAACGTACATCTTTTCCCTATTTTATGCCCCTCCCCCGCCTCGCCGGTTGTTTTTGCCATAGCCCCTTGCTGAAAGCTACGCGTCGCTCCATATGGACGGTTCTCGTCCCGGGCGTGTGTGCTGTCGGGAGGCGCTTGTAAATTTTGACGGGGTCGGGAGGCAGGAGGAGGCCGTTCGGGCCAGCTGGCCCGGGCCTCCTGGGCCCCTAACACCTAATGGGGCACGCTTCAGGAACAGGAGGGGTAGGGGGCCCTTGGATTTGCATATGTGTTTACGGTCGGACGGGCAAGAGAGTGGTGTTTTTTTGGCTGGACTGTACTTCTTGGTGTCCGTGTTTGCCACTAAAGGCCGGATTTTTGTA